ATCAAGCAGCTTCGAGTTGAGGAGACAACAATGGGATTTCTTAAATTTGTTAACGAAAAATTGCCGGATCTCATTACTCTTGCTTTCAACGTACCAATTGATTTGGCTAATTATCAAGAGCCTACAATCCAATTCGAACACGTCAATAAACTTTCAATCACCGATTCTCATCAACACATCAGAACCGGGAAATTTTTGTTCAAAAATCTAAAACATTTTGAATTGCCAGTCGATGGCAATATTGAAGACGAATGGATCAGTTTCTTTGAAAGCAACAAAGATTTGGAATCCCTTACAATTACAACTGGTTATTTTAACGATGCAACGATGCAAACGATGTCAAAGAAATTCACCGGTTTGCTGGAGGCAAACATCAACTGTGACAGCACTGTTAGTGTGGAACGTGTGGCCGATTTCATGGAGAACAACAAACAAATGACGAAAATTACTTTAAATTTGAAGAATGGTTCTACGGCATATTTCACGGATTTGGCGAAAAGACTCGAAAAACAATGGAAAATCACACCGATTGAAGGCGATTTCTCAATTTTAAGTGCAATCAAATTCGAGCCATACGTCGTACTTCCTGAGGAAACGCATATAGACGAAACGAATGTTGAAACTGGTAAGCCCCCACAAGTTGTAGAAGTTAAACCAAATGATGGAAGCACCCAAAGTGCGGGAGGTGACCAAAGTGCTAGTGGCGGTCAAAATGTGGGAGGTAACCAAGAGACTGGAGGTAGTACTGGATGTGATTTAGCAAAAGCATCAATTCTTGCAGTTTCAGCTATGACTGCAATTACATTATTTAATTAAAACAAGAAAATTGTTCTTAAAATATAGGCAAATTGTTTCATCGTAACTGAACAACATTGCTTCATTTTTGCACCGATAAAAAAGAAAATAAATAATAAAACATATTTCAAAAATATATTTTTTGTCTTTTTCCAAAGAAATTATAAGTTATAAGTGCACTTAAGAGTCATGACTCATTGATTGACTTACTTATTTCATCACATTCATGGAAAAATGTCAATAATGAATTGCTTCTTATCCAAAAATCAATCAGAAATGGATTTTGCAAGTAAGTAAGCGATATCGAAACAATCAAATTGCGTTTTAAGATATCACCGTTCAAATATCACACTTAAAACCACACCTATTTTCATTAGATAGGCATACGAATACAATGATTGGCAATCACTCAGAAACAGGTAAAGTTCATTGAATTCACTTGAGTTTATAATCACTAGATGCCCTTGACAATGAAAATTTCTTTGTCAGAGAAATGTTTGATATCTTAGTCTGTCGAAGAGCTTCTCAACAAAAACCAATATCCTAATAAATGCAATTTTTTCTTGAATTTTTGGTCTACAAAAATGGCTCCTGTTAATTTTCCGTGACGCTGACTCACTATATTCGCGATGGATGCTTTCATTCAAAAGGATCATTCACATTCACTAAATTCTGGAAAATCATTCAAAATAAGGGAATAGGTAGTGTCGCGGCTCTGGAGAGGAATTATTATGATTGAAGAATGGCTTGAAAAGCAAAATTCAAATTCTTTGACCGTCAAACTGTCGGGAATAGAGGTAGAAAAACTGAAAAACATACGTTCGCTTACATCTCACCACTTAAATTCGAACGATTCTTATGCATTTCAACTCAATAAAGTCGATTCAATTGCAAGTGTTGTTTCCACCGCACGCACAGTGGCTCACAATTCCTTTATTCCATTATTGCCTGTCTGTTGTGTGTCAATCTTCAGAGATATTTCGAAAATCGATATTATTGTTCAGTATCAAATGGTTTATACGCAAATAAAGCGAACGGTTTTGAGTAGCACGCCATTTGGTAAATCTGTTTGTTTCACTTGGCAGCCATGAATTGAATTGGAAATTCGAATGACGATGAGAGAGCACCTTACTTTTTTTTTATTTTTCTGTTTACTTTTTGGTCTTGGTTGTGCTCTTTGTCGATGTCTCAATGTCTCTCGTGTTGCTATTTTGCGTGTACTCAGATTGTGATTCCATCGCGAATGTATAAATACAAACAAATGGATTCGAATGGATGTAATGTAATGTATCAAAATACAATTTTGCTTGGCTTGGTGTAAGCAAACAACAAAAATCAGAAATAGGAAAGACGATGTGGATCGTGCGAAATGCGCATCCTAATAAACCAATCGAAAACATTTTGAAATTCAAAAAAGGAGCAGCCAGGAGCAGCTGTGAATGGTTTTGCGTCAATTTGATTACACACCTAAATTGCGATGTAAATATTCCCGTGCGAATATATGGAATGTAGAACACAGAACGCTAAATTCCTCCCGTAAAACGGAAGAGTGCTTATGCCTTGCGACCCGAGCCAGTTACACAACATCCCGCTGGCATGAATGAGTGCACTGAATGGTAAAGTCTAACAAGGCACATATGTATATTGAGTTAGTTAACTGTATTTTCTTTTTTGCCTACGTCCATCGTTCAAGCACTGAAGCAATGGAATTGTACTTTATATGCATACTCTTTTCTAGATTGATTTAAACCCACGTATAGAATTGCAAAAAAATTTCCAACTTTTAACGATGTCTTTTCATTTTTTTTTTTTCTAAACGGCGTCCTCATATCTTGAATGGCATTCTAAGTGCTTTTTTTATTTGCACTAGTGTGCGCTATGATTTTTACGGATCGTTTGGGAAACGAGATTTTTCATTGTTTATAACGTTGTTCAGTATAAGCCGAAGAGATCCACTGTTTCACCTACTTCGTTAAATATTTACTCATTCTCGGTTTCTTCTCTCAATTTTGGTACTGATTCAGAATTATTATTTATATCATAATATCCCGACGTTGTTCGAAGAGTTGTCAACTATGTGAACCAGAGAAAAAGAAATGTGAACTTTAGATCCGAAACAATTTTATAAGTGAATAATTTATATCGAACGTGTCAATACGCCGAACTATGAACTCCCACCATGCGTTCAATGTGGTACGATACGGCCCAATGGCCGCATGTTTGTTGCTCGTTTTCAGATAATTTCTCTCTGTCGTTGCCCACAGACACAGGCTCTATTGTGTGTATTTTTGTTGTTGGTGAAATTAAAGTACAAGCCCTCGGGCAAATAGATCATAGCTCACATTCTCACCCGTTAAACGATGTGTATCGTTTGAGTATAAAACCATTCCACTTCCACACCGTTCTATTGTGCGCGTGCCAAACTTCTAATTGAGCAATATAACTTTTTTATAGCGAACATAAATCTTTTTCTACTGTAACATCGATATTTTTCACAGTGTCGAGTATTGAGACAATTTTTCAACATGGATTCATTTGTTTGAGTGTGAAAAAAAAGCTTCCAACTATTGAGAATGAGGTGAAGCCATGTAGCAGTTAACTAATTTACTGGACAACAGAAATAAATCATCAGTTTTTTGCTGCGTTGTGCGAGTGAAAAGCCGTCAATCATCACCGAAATCCAGCGCAGCAATTGAATGAGTCAACATGAATGCGAATCAGATTCAATGGAACATTATTCGAATGATAAGTTATGGTAAGTCAATTCCTTGACATCGCTGCCATATACGTGCATTAATAATAATCAGAGCAACTAAATGCGACCAATTCTTTGGCTTGCTCTTCATTGTTGCTGCTCTCATTGTTATTTTTTTTTGCCTAGATATCATACCACACACATTGTGATGCATTGTGCCCAAGGTTGTGTCGAATGAGCCAAATCGAAAACATTCGTCAAACGCATGGAAATGTCCCGATTTGTGGAAATAATTGTTGTGAGATTTCTTTTGCTTACTTTTAGACGCATTCACCTTGGATATTTCATAGAGTGATGGAATAAGCAGAAAAAGTAATAATTCATGAACCTGTGATAGCTAAATATTTGCACGTTCACATCATCCTATTTTGTTGGATGATACCCAAAGCAAATCTTAGCGCTAAATCCAGCACGAGCAAAACAAGCGAAGAAAGCAATAAATCTTTAACATGGACTCGCCCCCAAAATATTCTGAACGCCAAATGGATAATCAAAATGCCATAGACAAACGCTGCTCTTGTCTTCGAGTACTCACCACATCGAAGCGTCAACATAAATTTAATCGCAATTTAATAGACAAAATTTCGGAAGGCGATCCTATCCCACTGAATATAGTTGTAAATACTGTGACCAGATAAGCAGCGAGTGTGAGCGTGCATGTGGATGGTTTATTCCACATTGTGGATGTTTTTTTTATAGAGACGAATGGGGTAATGTGGGACAGTTTATTTTTTTGGATTTTAAGCATTTTACGACATATCTAACGCATACAAACACTGTTATTCAACACATTTAATGGCATTTTCTGAATGTTTGTAATATTTTTGTGAATGTTTTTTTTGGATTTGAGGATTTATTGCGGCGAAAAAATTCGAAAAACAAACTAAAGAAGACAAACGAGAGAGCAAGGATTCTACAAAGAGCAAGAAAGGCGACGTTGCTTCGGTGCATATTGAATGACACTAACCCTATCGACAAAAATTAACCGATTGCGACATTTTGCTGTGACAAAAGTGACAAAATGTCAGGTATACCTGATTACCACACAGTATGTGCCAATTGCACATTGTGCTATTCCACCTCCTAGCGAAATCAATTTACTTGCCAAAAGATGCCTTTTCACAATACTTTTCCTTTAATTTCATATTGCAGGACATAACGCTGTTTAGCATTCCTTTACTGTACCCCAGTTCCTCCTATACCAATCAAAATTGTTCCAGATTACTCCGTTCTCGCCTATTCAGTGGTCGCAGCCGCTTTGCGTAACTGGGCATGCGCGACCGTACGCGCTCCGGCACGCGTTGTGTTCCACACCAAAAGGGGCAACCGAATATGTTTATTTTGAATTGAATCATCGAATGATGTTTATTCATTGCACATCGCATTGCCGAAATAACACAATAAATATTTTGAAAATTTTGATTATGTATGCATAGCAATGCACCGTCGATGCAAAAATATTTTAATTTCGCGGAAAGTCGGGTAAATTCAAAAACACAACATCTTCAAGTACATTGTTGAACGCAATATATGCGTACTTGAATATCCAACAAAATGCACTGACATGAAACGATGAATGCCTTAGATTAGAGCGAACCCATACGTCCCCTTCGCTGTACAACCAACACACACCAATTTTATCCAGCATGAGAAACGAACGCATAGCTAGACGAAAGCGTGTGCACCACTCATGATTGTAACTTCATTGAGCTGAAATCAGTCATGATTTGGATATCGTGCTGATAACACACAATGAGACACGTTTCACAGCGAATCGAAACACAGATAAAAAAAATTGACGAAATTTTCGTTACATTCACAACGCCCGATTGCTTACGCTCGATCTAGTGCGTTCGACAGATAATGTTTTGATAAAATTTACTATTCAGTCAGTTTTCGCATTTCAATGGAATTTAAATGGAAAAATAAAATAGAGATAGAAAAAGTGTGCATTTTCTGCATTTTATTATTGAAATTCGAATGCAAATTGGGCTCGACGGCGGTCATATAATAAAAACAGCATAAAGACAAAAAAAAACAGCCGAACACAAGTTTTTCATTGTACAAAAAAAAAACTCAGTGTTTTTTCTTCGCATTTTGAGTTTTGAATCATTCGCCGCGAACATTCACTTCGATAAAATCTGGCTGATTAATTTTTAATTCAACCAATGTGCAAAAGTTCTACGAGTTTTTTTTTTTACAACGAACTCATAGTTTTATTATCCCAATCTTATTACACGATCTGTTGGAAATTGATTCATTGGCATTTTTATGCATTAATTTTTTTTGTTCATCTCGGTTCGTCTGCAGCTACTGCTGCTTTTTGTTGTTTTGCAACTGTGGCTGCAGCCATGTGTCCAGTGTAAAAGTGTATGAGTAAGTGTGCTGTAAGTGAAACAAACGAGAGAACGGGGATATTTTGCTGCAGAAAAACAAACAAGTAAACATAACCACATAATGTTGACAACATCTCACCTCTCACCTTCGAAAGCAGGGGGCTTTTTACAGTTACAAGTTTGGAACAAAATTGAGAATTTGTGGAAGTGATGGACAATTTTACAATTCCTTGTAAAGTTGCAAATAATTTTTTTTTTTAATTCACAAGTTCAATTTTTTTCAAGTTTTAACTGTACGGTAAAACACCTTATAGACACGACTTGTAAATTATAGTAGAATGATACTAGTAGCATCTATTGCATATGTAAAACTAAATGATTAATTTTATTTTAATACATTAGCACCTCTATTCGCTTTTTTAGACATTTCAGAAAAAAAAAGTTGATCAAATTTAGAGTCATATTCGTAGACTAGGGGGAAATAACGACTTGACGTATTTGCCATATTCACGTTCATTTGCAAGCATTTGCATAGCGCTCGCCTATGTTATTGTTGTTGTTTTCATGTTGCTTCGTCTCTTCCGTATTGAGCAGTGTTCGCTGAGCACGAATCAGAATGGCAAATACGCATACATCTTCTAGCATTCGTTTGTCGTATTTGCACGTTTTGTTAGACATTGACAATATTTCCATGTTATCTTTGAATTTGTGTCGTCCTTTCCCCCTAGCTCGTAGACAATAGAATAATTAGAAAAAAGTACCAGTATCAGAATTCGTGTTTACCCCATAGAATATCATCCAGTCCATAAATTACTTTTTCGTAAAATCCGAGGAAAAACCTCCACACAATCTTTACACAAGGTAATCTGTTCTTGGAATATGCACTTAGAGTTTTTTTTTCTCGGTTAATCTCACTCACAGAGTGGTGGAAAACACTTTCACTTCCGCTATCGTGTACACTCTCTATAATGTTGAGTGAGTGTATCTTAGGTCACCATATATTAACAGCAGACATTTCGCTTGAGAGCTGGCAAAAGGAAATAAAAGGCCCATAAATCTCGTAGAAAAAATGAGATTTCGCGGTCGGCAAAGATTTTGTGAACGAGATAAAATAGACTTAACGTTCCATTGCATCAGCTCATCGTCACCACCGTCGCTGCCGCCACTACCACCACCTCCGACTCAACCTCCACCTCAATCGCTACCGATGAAATAACACATTCAAATGAAAAATAATGATGACACACACAGACGGGCCACCATAACCATGAATTACAATAATACAATAGATGGAAAATATTACTGAAATAGAGATTAAACAATGCTGATAAATACCACCACTAATTCCGAGTAATTCTTCCATGAATAAAAAAAATTAGACGGATTTGTCGACAATTTTCTTCTTTTTCTTCTTCAAAACCATGAAATGTTGGAACTACAGCTGTGCGGGCAATATATTATCCATATTTTTCATATCAGCTTAACGTATGAATAACCAAAAATGATTGAAATATAGCGTGTAAAGCTGTAGTTGAAACAAAGCCAAAATGAAAGAGAAAAATTTCATTAAAACGTGAAGCGGTAATATTTCATAACATTGGTGCTTGATGATGGGAACAGTCCAATTTAGCGCTACGCCCAAAGCTTTTTCGATTTAAATATATTATAAATTCAATCCGTTTACTGCGCTTATGGCCTTTATTAAAGCCTTCATCACTTTGTCGTAGATCTATGTGTTAGTAGGATCAAATATTACATTTACACAGGGATATATGGACGTGCTTGCATGACTATTCACTGTCACGCATGGAAAAATGTTGAATGCGTATTTTTTTTCAAAATTCAAAGCTCCTAGAATCATGACATGACTGGCGATAAATTGCAAGGGGTGAATTACCACTGAAACATTGAAAAGACCGAAAATGACGGAAAAAGACGGAAAGAGACTTAAAATGACTGAAAAAGATTGAAAATTATGAAAATGGCTGAAATGTCAAAAAATGATCTAAAAACATGCTGATTGGTTGTGTTTTCACAAGCAAAAAAGAAGCAAACGAATATTTTTGGAAGCAAATAGCGAGTGATATGACAATAGTCATAGCAAAAATATTTATTTATTCTTCTATCATGTGCATTGTGCAATATTCGAGAAGCGTTATTACGTTGTTATTACTAATTAATGTTATTACGTCTGAAAATTTAGATAGCTTGGTCGTTAATCAAAGCAAAAATTTAATTCGCACCGATGCATCAACTATTTTATCTAGATAAAAAATAACCGGCATAAATCATCCAATAATTGGTAACAATTACATTGGTAATGTTTATGCGCCTGATTCAAATTCGTTCAGATTTCAAGTGATTGTATTCCAATATTGGAGTAGTCGAACATGTAGAAGAAAAAAATTGTTGGTGCAAAGTCCAACGATGGTTTGCGATATTTTGCACCAATGGAATACTTTGCAACAAACGCACAAAATGAGAAACATAATTTATTTATAAGTGACTTTAAGAGCAATATGGATATTCATCACAAGGACAGTATTTTTTGAACAAATATGGTGCGTGAAAATCGATACGATCATGAACTTCACAATTGCTATATTCATAATAATTATGAATAAAATTGCAAATAATAATTGCTTGTTTACTGTCTGGAAAACTAGCAAATGTCAACAAAGAACTCTCACTAATCTTCACTTCAATATGACACTTGGGATGACGTTTTACCGGCAAATATATATGGAAAATGACTGAAGACTGAAAAGACTAAAAACACTGAAAAAGACTCAAATGCACAGAAAATCACTGAAAATGATTTTTCAGTGGTGATTCGCCCCTTGATAAATTGTCGTACGTGTGTAAAACACGGCGCCTGATTATAGCGCACGCTGTCGCATTTAGTTGTTGGAAAATGATTTTAATCGCTGAACAAACATACTAGAATAAATTGACAAATCATCAAGAAAATAAATGCGAACACAAAAAAAAAATCTGTTCGAATAGGTAATGATAGAGAAAAAGAGTGTGTTTTCATCCAGAGTTGAGTTCTTATACCGAAAATCAGTCGAGTGAATCCAGCAAGAAATGTTTCTTCGAGAGAAAACGAAGAGAGTTTGGACTTGGATTGTTAGTATTGTTCGATTTTTCCATATGATGTATGTAATTGTTTCCCTTTCTTTCCACTCCATTCGCCACGACAATGTATCGATAGAAATATCAGCATATATTATAAATGATGGGACTAGACGTATTTTCAATGTAGTAAATATCATCGCAAACATTGTTAACGCACAGTTTCACATTGAATTTCAATAGAACCAACGAAAAAGTATTTGTACCGAATTCGAAATCAGTGTTGATTCATATGAAAAAAATATTATTACTAATAAGCATAATATTGAACGCACTCATGCTAGCATTGCTAGCAGAGAATTCACTGAAATTCACATGTTACGAAATGGCATAAGCATAATATCGAACAACTTCTTCGACAACAACATCAATTTACAAAGCAATATATCCCTATAGTTGATTTCAGTTTGTGTCCAAAATAATTCAGTCTTAAGGATCAGGCACTTGAAATATAGGCACATACCACTGTTGAGCACACTCTGACGCTTGTACAACGATATTTTACCTCTTCATATTGATATTTCCAGTCGATTTGAATGCAATTCTGGCATTCTTCATTCCGAATGTATTGTTTGCAAGTTTGCATGTAAAATGGGAAAAATATCGTTTCCAGCCTTTTATATTCCTCAATATTAGAATGTTTGGTCGAAGTTTTTCTAATTTTTCCTTCATTTCTAAAACTCCATCTATTTTAGCCCGAGTCAAAAGAGATTGCATGAAAACGATGGATTTTACTACTTGACGGAGAAAAATTGAAACTAATTCATCCGCTACATTCCGTAATTTCTCTTGTCAAATAATTTGTTGTGAAAAAGTTGAGAAAATGGTACAAGTTTGAGATGAATCCATTTTTTTTCTAATTTACCATCAAACTTTGATTGTACCTTACTCAAATATGACTGACATTTGTTGGAAATGATATTTGAATGAATCATAAAGTTTTTTTTTCCGCTGTGTAAGATTTGCAGGAATAACTGTGAATACAAAGAAGTGTAACATAAAAAAGGCAAATATAAAGAAATGAACTTCCTAGAAAATGAAACATGAATCCAATATTAATGTAACACTGACCATGTAAATTTAGGTTTCGATTGTGCGTATTCGTTATGTGACATTTCACCATTGTTTTTCCTGAAATTCTATTCTTATTATCAGCCACCATATAAAGAAATGTAACATAAAAAAGGAATTATAATTTAAAATTCATATATATTGTAAATTGTAGCCTACACCCTCATCAAGCATATTTTTGCGTGAATTTGAATTGATTTGAATGTACTGTGATGGGATTTTGGATGTAAGCTCTTTGATATGTTGATATCATTGCATGAAAAAAAAAATATCCTTCCAAAGAGCGTTTCGACAAATTTGCACACTCTGAGAGTGAGATACTCGGAAAAAACTGATGTAGAGAATCACCACAAACTTTTTGAATACTTGTTGTAAAATAAATGTCAACACAAACAGTTTAACATAACTCTACATCAGTTTTTTCAGAGTAGAGAACACAAAGAAACTGCACCCAGTAGTAGGATTCATATGATGCAGTGATTATATGTCAAGTTCCTCTTTCACAAATTACGACAACGGAATGTCTCTCAACTGTTAATAATGCCACAGTAAAGAATAAGCGTCGAATGATGAGTGATTATTATGGTAGTTGTGCGGCTTTTGTTCATTCGAATGGTTTCTTTGTATTCAAATGAAAGAATGCCCCTATACAAAGCAACGAATAACAGACTGCAAACAACAACGTGTGCTAACGAACTATGATTGAAAAGCCATCGCAGAAAAGGAGGTTGAAAATCAAGCATTTGCTTTTTGGACTTAATAAATGATTTTGTGTGAACCATCTCAATGACTTCAGTACTTCAGTGAAATGGCAAGCGAAGTAGTGAGCATACATTTAGTGATAGAAATGCGTTGTGCTTTAACACTGTCAAATTGATAGCGTTGTACTTGGATGCTTGAACATCGTGCTTCCATTTTCACATTGCGAATTCTTAGTACAATACTGAGAGGGGTGGTTGCCATCAATTGAGTTCCAAAAAAAAATACATACACAATACACAATACACAGCGCAATTCCCAGAAGAAATCAAGTCAAGTATTGTTAATGTCGTGTCCTTTTGTCATGATTGACACAAACTTTTTTTTATCGTCTTTCTAAATGAAGCTCTCTCGTTTTTCAACTTACCCTTTCATCTTTCTTTCTTTAAATTAAAGTCACAATTAATTTGTTATGTTCCTTTGACTGTACGTATATTTTGGCTTAATTTCATTTGATCTAACATTTAGATGGTATGATTTTATATTTCCACCCATTACCACAATTGGAAAACTTTTATCAAACCAAACTTTGAAAGAAGAACAATTCAAGTTTTTGTATCAAATTCGTTGTAAACACATATTTTGTGTTCTCTCCGCGTTTCCTTTTAACAATGAAAATGCTCAAGATACGCCATGCCTTAAATCCGAAATATTGGTTTTTCAATTGAACTACAATCGATATTTCGATCTTTTTTCGAGTGAATTCTATGTATTGAACCACTGTCTATTCAATTAATATTTGTAAAGTTATGAACTCATCCCAAAGTCAACCTTTTTTTAGACCTAGATGGTATCATGTGGCTGTTGCAGTCAGTGTCACATTTTTTTCTTTTACTGAAAAAAATCATGCTCGAGTTTCGACGTTCAACGTAAACCATTTCGGTGTTAATTGAGTTTATATAGGTATATTCTTACAAAAACAGATTCCCTCGCCGAGAAAGAACACGCGAACACATTTCTTTTGCTCCGTTATTTGGTCTACTCACTTCTCTACCTTTATCGACAACGGATTTTACTCATTGCGAAAGAGATGAGTAGATAACAACAGAGAAAAAAAATAAATAGGTTCTGTTACAAAGTAAACATTATTCGAAGAGAAAAAAAAACAAACACTTCCTCTAATTAACACCAAAGTCAATTAAAAAAAATTAATGATGTGAGTGTACATTGTGTTGTTGGTTGATGAAATTTGATATTTTCCTTAGGGCACGACTTTCATCTTTTTCTTCCTCCCTCAATTTTCTTACTCTCTCTCTCTCTCTCTGTTTTTTTTTCATGCGCCGTACCCATCTTATTTTTGCTGCCGATGTTCTGAGTATTCTTTTAGGATTTGCATCCAAGCAACCACCTTCTTCAACAGCGAAACGCATTAATTCACCATCTTCATTCTCCCCATTTGAATTTGCACGTTACACACCATTTGTTTGCGTTCAACACCATCAGCCACATCTGCACTTTATACGGTGGTCGACGGTAAAGCGAGACTTGTTCAAGCATACATGTCATTTTCTCGTTTCCACTAATTTGATTCGAAGCATTATATATTTACATATTTTGCCAACACTTGCGATGACCTCGTACAAACTGTGGTTGTCTCAGTGCTTTTGCTCACAACCGTTTTGAGTGAAAGTATATACAAAATCTGTATTACAGATCTAACTTATCTATCTGTACTCAACATCATTCTTCTCGTCTTTTATTTTGTCCCTCTTTCTCTCGTGACTTTTCAACTTGCGTATCCATGATGACAAAAAAAGCGAGTCATTTGTTAAAGCTAATATGAAAGTACGGAAGTTTCTGCTCTATTCAATGAAATGTGTATATGCTAGTTTTTTGTCCGTATGCATAAACATTAAAATACGAATTTCGTAACGCTGAATGAGCGAACAAAAAAGAAATGGAATGAAAAAAAATTGTCGAAAGGTGTAACAATGAAAATATTTTATACAAGCATTCGCAGTTGACATGTAACGGCTGAAATGCAAAAAATTACCATTATATGTAGAGTGCGCCTTGGAAAAAAAACACTGCCATTGATGTCCTTAATTCGGCGAAATCCATCCACATATTTTTTTTCGGAAAAACCATTTTTTTACACAAACGAAATATGAAAAAGAAATGTTCAAATTTCCTTTGAAATTAACTTTTCCATCATCTACTCAGCCGCAGTCGGTGACATTCGATGGAATTACGTTCTAACTCGACCTTGACGCGTGTACGCGACTTAAAAAAAATCCGATTACATTAGTTACCTTTGAAAGCAGAAATTAAATCTTCGTTAGTTCGATTATATTTCATTCACTTTTTATTACTAGCTGGCCACCATCCCATCATGCATTATTCCGAGAATATTGTATTTGATAGAATAACAGTGTTTTGTTGATAGTTAACATTTAATACACTCACATGCTTCATGCTTATTCATATTGTTCAATGGCAAAGAACAAAGTAAAACTTGATTTATATTCATTGTCTCGGTGTGTGTTTAGTTTTATTATGTTTCGCCCGAAATTCGAGTCTCGAATTCCTCCTACTATTTGCTCATATGCTTCCTCATCAGAACTGGCATGTCATATGGGCTTTTAACTAACACTATTTTTCGCATGTTATTTTCATTCCTCGATTCATCAACTGTGTCTTGCCATTTTATCTGTACTCTATTCACTTGTTCATGAAACATCAGTTTGAAGTGGGACATTTGTTTTATAGCGCGATGGCAATGAAAACAGTGACACAAATACAATGCACAATATTCCATGCAGACAGCTCCAAATGGAAAATGTAAAATGGCACATCGCAAAACAGGTGAGCTGTAAATTCATTTCCAAATTAAAATGCTTTTTTTTGTTTTTGTTCCAGCCGTTTTTCTCATTCGCTCTTTTTGACTGCTATTTTTGGGTTCGTTTATGTGTGAAAGTATTTTCGTTTTGTTTTGTACCAATCCATTTTTGCGTCGTACATTTGCATATTTTCATGTACTCCATTCATATTGCATTAAAGCGTTTTGCATGACATTTTTGTCACTTTGGCGAATATCCATCACGGATCTTTGTCACATGTACCTATGTTGTCTAAAATGACATGCCACACCAATTTATAATGAGCGAATATTTGGAGGTACGAAGCCGATGTTTGGAAGCATAAATATTGAGAAATTGAGCTGCACTGTAGAGAATCTACAATTCAACGAGTTAAAGTGAAAATGTTCATGATAAATACGATCCAAGCATAAAAAGAATTACATTCGTAATCCAAAACTTTTCCGTACATTTGGTTTTTTCAATATTCTTGAAAAATCGGTCACTTTAACTAAAATTTCGACAATTTTGTATGGGAGGTACCCGCAAATCGATTCCTATTGCCTTCAAACTTTCTAATGTTTCATTTTTTGAAGAAAAACTAAGATTCTGAAAGTTTCATGTTGATCGCATTTGCAGAAGTTTGGTTTTTGGCCCTCCATTTTTCCAAAAAAAATTTCGACAAAAATTGAGGACCAAAAATCAAACTTCTGCAAATGCGATCAACATGAAACTTTCAGAATCTTAGTTTTTCTCCGAAAAATGTAACCTCATAAAATTTGAAGCCAATCAGAATCGATTTACGGGTACCTCCCATATGAAATAGCCGAAAAATCAGTCATTTTAGTCGAAATTTCGAAAATTTTGTATGGGAGGTACCCGTAAATCGATTCCGATTGAATTCAAACTTTCAGATTCTGATTTTTCTTCTAAAAAATGAAACCTTAGGAAGTTTGAAGCCAATCGGAGTCGATTTATGGGTACCTCCCATACAAAAGTGTAAATTTTTTGAGGTTTTTCTTAGGGTCAAATCGAAAATGGCTCATCTTCGAACTTAAACTAAGTTTTTTGGATATAAAACTTTTGGGACTTTCAGATTTTGATTATCTTAATTATTTTTTGAGTTTTCGTGTTAACACACACCAACGACAACGACAACGACGGCACACGAACGGAATAATGCCTCAAAAAGTGGTTTTCTATGCGTTTCATGAGTTTTGATGATGTTCTAAGCTAATTTTGAGAAAAAAGTTTTCGGGACCAATTCCTATACTTTCCCTTGACACGTTGCGTACGGAAAAGTAAAATAAATTCATCGACTACATTAATAATATAGAATTCCATTCTCTTCATCAATGCAAGCATTTTCTAGCATTCAAACCTTAATTTGAATACAATTCAGCTTTGAATATTATTATTGTTCCACCGGGACAGCAACACGCACGTGCACACACACACACACATTGTTGCCGTTGGAATTGTTATTAGAACAACAATGGTATTGCATGCAATGTTCTAATTTTCTCTCGGCTCGTTGGTTTTACTCATGCGGTGTATGTATTTTGATTTATACTTTCTCATAACAATTCATACCAACATGGAACATTCTCTGGCACACTAATCAAAAGCTGGTAAAATATAATGCGTATGAATTTGACTCTAGGTTTTTTATTTATTCCAACGGATTTCTCTATCTCTCCGTCACAATCTCAAGACGTTAAGCGGCGGGCAATCGAGTGTGTAATGTGATATATTGTTTCGACCTCTTATGCTGTAAAAGCTGAGACTGGACACTGGCAAATTGGTCCGACAAGAATTGAATTCTACAATCGGCCAATGAGTTTGCCAGAATTCAGTTTGCTCATCTAGAGTTAACAGGCACAAATATCTCTAAGGGAGCGTGAGCCAATGCAAAGTGCTTTTGTTTCAGTTTGTATTTCATTTGGCTCAGGGGCCATGTGTGACCGACTGATATGCGTATATGCAGACCATTGGTCTGATATTTATTTTTCGGATTTATTACTTTCTCACCGGTTAAAGCTGGAAAAAGTCATTCGCATATGTACACATTTTGATTCAGGGTGAACAGGACAAAAACACACAGAAAACTCAAAAATTCGAAACAAAACACTTACATATATCGTGCCACCGGAAAGCAATCATCGCATCCTCCACTGTTGATGCATTATAGAAGTAAAAAAATGTAATTCTTATTACTTTATTACCTACTTATTACTTAAATAAGTAATAACATCATCTTATTACAGCAATAAAATGAAAGTAATAAGTAATAAGTTACTTATGCATCACCGTATATTTTATGCATATTTCACATATAACCCGCGTATACGCCGTATATTTTAACCATTTTGCATATAAATTTGTATTGATGAATAGAGATAAAAGCCCCTAGATCACAATTGGATCGAGCGAAAATGCATTTTTAGCGTGCGGTATACAAACTAAGCAAGTGTCGATTTCATAGTTCACACACAGGCCGCGCTAGCGTCCTATCTAAATACATTATAATGAATAAGTACAAACTAATACATATGCATTTCTACTATGAATACGTTTCATGCTATGTGTTTTAATTTCATTTAATTTTGGAAATTGGAAAAAAAAAATTTCTCGACAAAATATATTTTAAAACATCATTGCAATAAAAAAAAACTTCCAAGTAAAAATGAATATATTGATATTGAGTACGAAAATTCGGTGAAATCGGTGAAATACTTGAATCAAACATAAACGTTTGAAAAACGTACGACGCGCGCCAAACCATAAGTGATGTCAAATTGTGTACAAAGAGTGAAGCAATAGTGCGTTTAATGCTATGTGCTATAGTGTCTCTGTTGATGTTGATCGCTGACGTTTATAGTTGTAGTTCACACACAATGAACTCATGTAGAACTCGACGCTCACACGCTCGACAGGTTGACGTTCTGTGTACGCGGTGTCACGTTGCCAATACTAAAAAATATTCAACAGAATAGACGTTGTTCACGTGGTATCGCGTCGAACGATTCATTGAATTTGTAAATATGGCGTAGATAGTGGCTACACTCTACACTTTATCCATTGAAAATACAATGGAACGTTCAATGTGACCGCGTACACAGAACGTCAACTTAACGGACTGTGAGCGTCGCGTTCTACATAAGAACGGGACAGTTCTCGGATTCAATCATCGAATTCCAAATAGAAGAATCTAAGTGTTTATTTTACAAGCTTACTTTATAGTAAATCACGTTTATTTATCGGCTTATACAACGTTTTTTTTTGCCACAACCTTTTTTTATCACAGTGTTTTTTTTTTGCTGTTGGAAAAGCTAATAAGAAGTGCCGCTATATTTCTTTGTGTGTTATATATGGCGCTCAATGTTGTTTGTGTTAGTAGTTGTGCAATCTATTGCGGTATTGTGTTTATAGTTGGACAAAAGTTTGTTCGGTCAATAGAATGGCATAAATATTTGAGAGTTTGCTAAACAACAATCGTCCAAGCATTTTGTTTTGTAATTAGTTTTGCTTTTGACGTTGGCGCCTACACATTATTTCAGTGTGTTTCACACCACTTGATATTCATCGTTTGGCTCCAACTTCATCCGTAATTGGAATTCGAAGTTTGGTGATAATGGGATAAAGCTTGACCGTATACGGTATGCACGTTAATAATTAATTAGTGTATTGATTGAAAACGCTTATTATTTTAATTGGTTCACCAACGGATGCTATGATGTGGTCTGGTGGGGACCTCATACAAAGTTATAACGTTACAAATTTTGGTTTTTAATTATTTTCATGTTCATATCTATGGACGTTAATTAATATTCAAGCTGAAATTAAATTTCCCGGATGTAGCGATGCATAAACATTTAAATTGTACGCATAAAGTGGGAAGAAGGTGGTTAACAAACGTTGGGGTTACAACAACGATTGAATTTAAACTTTTAGCATTTTAGAATTCATTTGAACCATTTTGATTTTATTCATTTCAATTATTCAGTAGTCCATCTGAGCGCAATATTATCAGATTCCAAGATTCGTGAACGAAACATGATCCAAATTGGTAACAATTTGGTTCGCAAAGAAACGCACAGGTTGCTTTAGCGCAAATTTTGTGTTTTCCTACATGAATTAATCCGGTTCAATGCGAATAGAAGATTATTCGGAAATGTTGTTGCATACAACTTATGAAATTCTGGAGCTGAATATTCAACAGGACATCGAAGGAAATACAGTCATACACGTGTTTGTGCTCAAATCGAACCAATTCCTACCGTCGAATTAGATATTAGTTTCAAGTGAGCCATAGTTCCACATGTTCAACCAGCTTCTGACATTAATTGACAATACCAATTTATTTACACTGAATGTTATTCAAAGTTATAACAAGATCGCTTAATAAACGAAGAAAAACGACACGCAGCCCTCTAGGCGGGTGACACTCAAGGCAGTCATCGTACATATATCGATGCGTTCATTTGTGTGAGTGCGATTGTGTAAACGACAATGTTCGTGTTCAATATGTGTACGATGACAGCTTCGAGCATTCCACGCGTAGAGGCGTCTTACGTCAAATCATTCCCATTTATTTGTATACGAAAAAAGCGACCTTGGTTATAACATTATCGTGACACATTTCGAACAGTTCACGTGCATTTGAAAAAAGAACTGTTAGCAAATACGTAAAATTTAATATTAATCTAATGAGTCCCTATGTTTTAGCTTGTTTTTGTGGCGCCTGATTTATTTGCTATATGAATACATCAATTATTATTATGTAAATGGCATGGCGGTTTATTTCCGTTCTTCATTTATTATTCCATTATAACTTTGTTTTCCAAACATATTCCGAGGAGCGTTTGATTGAACAAAATATATACGCAGCATAGATGATTGACTTCGATTTGGTGTTCTAACCAAACAGCGAATTGGTGCGTAAATAGCGCGGTGTTATGGTTGCCAATTTGTTGGTTCTTCTGATTGCCTGAAACTGCAAAAATA